TAAAGGCTCATTAAAAAGTAGCCACCACTTCAGTAACCTTCTTGCTCTGTTTATAACATATACATCCTAGCATATTGATACTATTATCTTCATTCACATTCCTTCACTGGGCACCTACTATGTTCTGGGTGCTGCAGATCCACAGTGACCAGAAGAAGATTTAAATACAGAGATGAGGGGATCAGATAACTAAGCCTTCAGAAAAGAGGAACAATCAAGGGAAATTCCAAGGACATGTGAAGACCAGGAGAGATGGTGTTGGGAAGGCCAAGATCTGCATGTCAAGGAGGGGAGCCCTGGTTTCTGCAGTATGGAGTTCCCAGGTTGGCTTCAGAAGGGCAATGTCACTTTGTGGGCAGGTGGACAGAGAAGCCTGACCCCTAAGAAGAAACTGGAGACTCCATGGCGAATCAGCTCCTGCAGAGAACTCACAAGGTTGTGATGGGAAAGGGAGCCAAAAGGATCGAGAATGCGAGCAGAGGGACGGCTCTGATGGACGTGAACCCTTCATTGTGAACAGGGAAGTTGAACGTGGGGGTGGATGGGTGCAGAGATGACAGGGCCTGTCTGCTGGACTTGATTGTCTCTGAGAAGTGTGAGGCAAGGTCATCTGCTTGAAGTGAAGGAGGAGTGGAAGGAGGAGAGGAAGGGTATGCGGAGTTTAGTGTGGAGAGTTGACTCTTAAAAAGAAACATGGGGCGGGCTGGGGTGGTGGCTCAGTGGTAGAGCACTTGCCTGGCATGTGTGAGGCACTGGGTTCGATTCTCAGCACTGTGTATAAATAAATAAAGGTCCATCAACAACTCAAAAAATACATATTAAAAAAAATATGGGACAGGCTGGGGTTGTGGCTCAATGGTAGAGCGCTTACTGGCACGTGTGAGGCACTGGGTTGAATCCTCAGCACCAAATACAAATAAAATGAATAAAATAAAGATCTGTCAATGTCTAAAAAATAATTTAAAATATATGAGAGGATTGCTGGGCAGGAGTGAAGCCTCACTTGAAATTTATGGACACCCACTTATGTGGCAGCAGTCACTTTTAATTTTATTGAAATGTTGAGATGTGCTGATTTGGGGGAAATCGGGGAATACCTGGGCTTTGCTAGGGTTGGGCAAGTTAGTTGAAAAGGGAGTGGGTAAAGAGTTTATGGCTATTTGCAAGGAAGTGAGTATAACGATCATTGAATACTTAGGGAGGACCCAATGAACCCAAAGGGGAAGGTTAAGTCTGGCAGGGTCACAGGTTAACAGGTCTTGAGCAGGCTGAAGAAACAGTCCTATGTTGATTCTTTAGCAAGGACATTAAGGTCAGATTTGAGGTCTTTGGGGTTGTTTTCTGAGACAGTGTAATTATTGGTGAGGGTGAGCCCATGGGAGTGGGGACCCAGGAAGAGGGGAAGGAGACCCACTGGTAGGGAAGAAATCAGTGAGAAGTCAATAAGATTTCTGGTGAGGGGCTGGTGGTGGCTCAGTGGTGGAGCGCTTGCCTCACACGTGTGAGGCACTAGGTTCGATCCTCAGCACCACATAAAGATATTGTGTCCAAGTACAACTAAAAAAAATAAATAAAAAAATATTTCTGATGAGTTCAGCTTATAGATGCTGAAGTCATCAAGCAAGGCAGAAGGGCCTTGAGTTTTAAGGGGGGTTGGGTTTTTTAAAGAGGGAGGAAAGAGTATTCAAAATATTATCGCGCCCACACCTCCCCACATCCCCTTTTCAACGCAGCCATGTTCAATGCCACAGGTGCCCGTGCTCACTGCAATAGCTGGTGGGTCTCGGGGTAGATCTGACCTACAGGCAGCCAATCTGTAGAAGGACCCATGACCTGTCACTGAGCTGTCAACATGATGAGCTATGCCAACCAGATTTGGTCTTGGGAACCTCAACCATGAAACACATGAAGTTGTCATTTAATAGAAGCCAATGCAGAGAACAAAGGAGGGACAAAGCCACCAGAATGGACCCCATGTAGAATAAGGGAACAGGACTACATGCAAGCTGAGGATGCTGGTTAGTAGAGGAAAGAGGAGCAGAGGCAACAAAAGAAGTAGAAATGGGGCCTCATGGGCAGAGGTGGTGTTGGGTGCTGAGCCCTCTCATAAGGTAAACCTAAACTTTCAAGTTTTTGAACAGGAAAGCAACATGATCAGACCTGGGTTTATGAGTGTGGATTCCGCTCCCAGATTGTCTAGCACTGAACTCATTAGCTGTGTGATCCGGGACAAGTTATGTAATCTCTGTGCCTCATTTTCTTCATCTGTAGAATGGGAATAATAATGTAATGCCTCCTTAGGTCGTAAGGACTAAGTGAGAAACTACACACAACGAACTTTGAACCATAAGGCTTCCTTTTGATCCCGTTTTCTTCTTGTTTCTTAAATAATTGAAACTAATTTCAGAAAACTTTCCCTTGGGCCTACTTTTCCTTCTGGGAGGGGGTCCACCTTCTCTTGGTTCTCTCTACTCTGCCCCAGGGACAATTTTTTTTTTTGTCTATCTTTTGGTCTCTTCTGTCTACATTCTTTCCCTATGTGAATTCATCCAGCTATCTTGTGCTTTTAAATACCTTTAAATGTCATTTACTGGCTGGTTCTTTCCAGTTTAACCCTAGCTCTGACTGCTTCCTCAACTCCAGACTTCCATATCTGGTCACTTACTGGATATCTCCACTGAAGCCTCCAATAGTCATCTCCAAAATAACTTGCTCCAGGGCTGGGGTTGTGGCTCAATCATACAGCGCTTGCCTAGCATGTGTGAGGCACTGAGTTCGATTCTCAGCACACATACAAAATAAATAAAATAAAGGTCCATCAACAACTAAAAAATATTAAAAATAACTTGCTTGAGTTGAACTCATACTCCCTCTTCCCTGAAAAAACTTTGTTCCCTCTACAGTCTCCATTCAGTAAATGGCAAATCTTTCCAGGGTTGATTCAGCTTAAAAACTTAGCATCCTCCTGGACTTCTTCCTACTTCTCACTTATCACCAATACATCAGCAACCATCTAGAATACTTTGGAGGGGGAGGCTTCTTGCCTCTTCCAATGCTACTCCCCTGGTCGAAGCCACCTTCATCTCTCTGCTGCATGACCTTGAGCAAACTCCTTTTCAGAGAGCCTCTGTTAGGAGGATTCAATGAATTGTTATTTGTAAAATGCTTCACAGTGTCTATTATATAGGTAGACATTTAAAATAAATGTCTATACTATAGAAATAGCTTGCTAAAGCCCCAGTCCCCCTACAGTCCGTCCAGAACACCACAGCTGCACGAGCCTTTTGGAGCCCAGGTCAGAGCTGGTCACTGCTCTGCGCTTGAGCTCCTGCCACCCTCTGCTTACCAGACCAAGGCTGTCCTCTGGCCTCCTTACAGGGTATGTGTGCCTCTACTAGTCACATGGCCCTTCCTTTCAATGGGTTACTTCTCAGTCAGACCCTCCTTGGCCTCCCCACAAACAGCCACACTGTGCTAGCCTGCCTACCTGCTCTCTCACTGATTTTTCTCCACACCTCTAATCATCCTGGACATTATCCGTTCTTGGTAACTGACTGTCCCCCAGTCAGCATTCAAACTCCATGCCAGGGGCTGGGGATATAGGTCAGTGGAAGAGCAAGCCCAGAATGCAGGAGGCTCTGAGTTGAATCCCAGTGGCAACCCCCCAATAAAAGCTCCACACCAGCACAATCTGTTTTGTTCCCAACTGTATTACCTGGCACTACTTGATAAATACTGGTAGCAACTTACTAAGTGCCAGTCCCTTCTCTGAACTCTCTTTAATATTTCCTTTTTAGTTGTATTTGGACACATACCTTTATTTTACTTATTTATATGTGGTGTTGTGGATCGAACCCAGGGCCTCGAATGGTGCATCACTGAGCCACAACCCCAGCCCCTTCTCTGAACCCTTATAATCCCATCTATACCATTCTTTATATGTCGGTGCCTTCACACATTATGCAAGCTTTATGAACTCATTTATGCAGTTACTATCCCCTCAGAGGTGACCCATTTGATTCCAAAGAGGGCAAGAATGCCAGGGAGAGTTGGTATTATTAGCAGGATTTACTTTCCAGGTCTCCTGCATTCTAAACCAAGCTCAACAAATATTTGTTGAATGAAGAAAGGAAAAAGAAGGAAAAAAAATTCTGAGCTACTGTGTGGAGGAAGGCAGTCCCATAGAGCTGAATCTCTGTAGCAAATGTAAAAGGTTGCATATGACCTAGTATTTATTGAGCCCACATTTCTAATCTCTTCACCTGTGTCATCATAACTACCCTGTCGCAGGTGGACAGCAATCTATGTCTTATTCACCTCTATCATCTTTTAGTGCCTAAAACAAGGCCTGGTATATAACAGGTGTTCAATAAACGGTGCAGCCCAAAGCTCTTTGATTCTGGAGACCAGGTTCAGGTGCAGTGCTGGGCTCCAGGTCCCACGAGGCCCCACCGGTAGCAGGCGGCAGCGCTGGGATTCCATGTCGGGTTCCACTCGCGGCGCTCCCTCTCGGAGTTGGGCTGGGCTGGGCTGGGTTGGTCCGCGGTCCTCACCAGTTCCGGGTCCACTGACGGCTTGAACGCGTGCATCGGGTGGGGCGCTGAGGGACAGTCCCCTCCCAGCCTAGTACCTTCCGCATCTTCGCCTGGGGGGTTCTTCGGGCGGGTGAAAGCGGTCCCTCTGCAGCCCCGAGCTATGCAGCCACTGACTAGGGGCCCGAGCATCGCAGCCGCAGGAGACCCCAAGTCCCCGGCCCCCAGCCCGGCGCCTCGCCCGGCCCGCACGGCCCCGCCCCGCCCCGCCCCGCCCCGCCCGCAGGCCCCGCCCCCGCGCGCCCGGCCGGCGCTCCGCCCCCCGCGCCGCGCTCCATACTTGGCGATCGCCGCGGCCCCGCGCGCTCATTGGCCGGGAGCTGGCGGCGTCGGGGGCGGGCCCGGGCCCGGGCCGGGGCGGGGAAGGAAGGTGGCGGCGGCCCGGCGCGGGGGGAGGGGGGCGCTGACCCGGATGTTCACTCCTGGGCACCCGGGGAAGTGGAAGCGCCGGGCCCTGCTGCGGGGGGGAGAGCCACAGACGCCGGGACCGGGACCGCCGCCGCCGCCGCCACCATGGTAAAGGCCCCTCGGTCCCGCCCGCGAGCTCGCGTCCCCCTGCCCCGCCGAACCCCGGCTCCGGAGGGTGGGTTCCCGGGGTGGGGGAGGGGCGGGGTCCCGGGCCCTGGGTGCACACCTTCCCTCCGGCCCGGGAGGGGCTGCGGGCCGCCTGGGTGGCCGGTGACTTTGCCGCCCCCGCCGTAGGTTCCACCTGGAGTCCTACTCTCCCCCTGCAAGTCCAGGAGAGTCTCCCCCAGAGCCCAGGCTGGACCTGGAGAGTCTCCCCCATGGGCCAGGCCAGGGACCCCTCCAGTGACCCAGCCATGGTCCCCCTTATTCTTCCCTTGCCCGGGCTGGGCCCTCTACCCGGGCCCCTGCGGTCCACGCCAGTCCGTCGCTTCTCCCTGCCTTGGCCCAGACTAGGCCCCCCTCCCCTCACACTCCTTCCCTTCTCCGTGGCCTCAGTCCGTACCCGCGACAGCCCTTCCTTAAGTGACCTGAACCTAGATTTGTTTCTCGTCTCGCACATAATTCTTCTTTTTTCTCCTTGGTCTTCAGTGTGGACCTCTCCTCCTCTGCTGTGGCCCCCTCTCGGGCCTCCCTGCCCACAGGACCCCCTCGATCAGGTTTCCCGGACTTCTCACCACTCTCAACGTAGCCTGCGTCAGCCCCCCTCTGTCCCCGGCCTTACCTTCCCATCAGGGACCTGTCCCCGACCCTTCACCTCCAGTGCCCCTTCTCAGCAACCTCTTGGAAGCTGGGGAGACGGGGGTGGACACCCCGGTCAGGGTGGGGGTGCCATCCCTTTTGGGGCTCCAGGGTTGCCTCTTCTGGTGAGCGAGCCAGGGAGGGAAGGATGGACGTCTGTGTGCCCGGAAGGCAGCGCCGGGCCGTTCCTGCGGCCGCCGATTCAGTGTGATGCTAGAGCGCGCCCCAGCCCAAGTGGGAGCAGAAGGGTTGAGGGTAGGGATGAACGCACAATCCCCCTTGTGAGGCCGCAGCCCTGGGGGAGCCACCGGGCTCAGAGCTCAACATATGGCCTGGACACAATGCACCCTAGCAGGCGCAGCCTTCCTTTCCCCCTAAACTGTCAGCTTGTAAGGGTTGGAACTGCTGATTATGGAGGTGCTTCGGATCAGGTGAGCAAAACTTGAAGCAGAGATCTAGCTTCACTCGTGGTGTTTGTTTTGGTAATGAAGGCAGGCGTTGTGGGCTCTAGGCAGCAGGCTTCACATAGGCCCCCACAGGTAGGCCTGCCACTTAACCAACTGTGGAACCATCTGTAGGGGAGACCCAGGTTGGAGGGTCAGAGGGCTTCTGCCTCATGTGGTCAAGGAAGCTTTGAAGAAGGAACTGCCAGAGCTAAGGCCATCCACCTCCTGCATCAGGGTCCTGTGCTGGTGCCTCCTGTCCAGTGCAGGCAGTTATTTGCATGTGAACTTTGGGCCCCAAATGGTTTTGAGGATCTCAGTTCCTTGTTTAATCAAAGGATGTTGCTGTAGAACTAGGGTGACTAATTCAGACCGGCTTAGTTTTTTCTTGATGCTTTCCTGTATATTGATTAAGAACAGAGGCGTTGTCATTTTTAATACTATTGCTACAGGCTGAAACCTGGCCTATGGGGGGAGGGTGGGCCTGGCTCCCAGCTTGACCAAGAAGGATTTGTCCGGGATAGTTTTGGGTGAGGACTTTAACTGAAGTTTTCTAAATGTGCTCTCAGGGCAAATCAAGGGAGGATGGGTGGAGTGGCCAGATGGGGTGCTCAGGGCGGTAGATCAGATAGGGAGGGGCAGTTCTCTGAGTGTGATGGAAAGTGCCAGTAATGACCCAGGAGGAGCATATGACAGAGAGTCCTGGCCTTGGCTCTCATCTGATAATCTGAAAAGACTGGAAGGGGTGGAGGAGAGGGCCTACCTTGTGCCACACACTGCGTCACCTGAGTGAGCTTATTTAATCCAGATTTGGGTATATGCTGTCCCCATTTTACAGGTGAAGAAGCTGAGGCTCAGGAGGAGGAGTCACATTCAGGGCATTGCTATGTCAGTGGAATAACATCTGGCCAGTTCTAAGCTGTGTTTTTTCCCATTGTACCAAGCTGCTTATATGTCCAAAGATATAACGAAATTGTTTAGAAACATAATAATGGGATGCTCAAATGTGGCAGGGGAGGAGCAGCATTTATGGTCTTTGGATTATGTGCTAGATTCTTTACATAGAAAGTCTTATTTAATAGAGAAGTCATGGGGTCATGCAGGCAATTTAGTGTGGGCCAAAACCTGAGCTCCTTGGGGGCCAGGATTTTTGTCTTGTGTTTTCCATGGCTGTATCCCTCCCTGCGGGCCAGAACAGCATCTGGCAGTGAGAGAAATGGTTTGGAAAGCTGGGTGCATTGGCCTGTGTCTGTAATCCCAGCTAATCCCTGCTACTTGGGAGGCTGAGGCAGGAGGATCACTAGTTCAAGGCCAACCTGGGCAGCATAACAAAATGCAAAGCCCCATCTCAAAAGAAAAGACATGACTTGGAATATGTCTGTGTTCATGTTTGTGAACTTAAGTCACTTGGATTTCATAGTCATGTCTTTCAATAACTTGTTCTTGGTGTCCTGTAGGCTCACAAATAGTTTCTGACTGCTTATTTTTAAATTTATTCCCTATTTATATAAGCTGATAAATCAGTATAGATAGCTGGGACAGGACGGAAGTGGTAGTGTGGGTCTGCATCAGAGGCAAATGAATTAGACCAACATGGTCCTGGCCGCCCCCCCTTCACTGGTGGGGATTGAATCAAGGGGTCACTTGCATGTTAGGCAACAGCTCTGCTGCTGAGCTACATTCCTAGTCCTTAATTTTTTTTTTCTTCATTTTGAGATGGCTGGTTAAGTTGTTCAGGCTGGCCTTGAACTTGCTGCAATCCTTCTTCCTCAGCCTCCCGAGTAGCTGGGATTATAGGCAAGAGACACCAAGGCCCAGCTTTTCAGTAGTCTTGATGTTAGAAAAAACAGATCTCAGTTTTCCATTGAGGAAAATATGGGTTTGAGAATCTAAAATGCATTTGATTTGGGGGTGAATTCCATGATTTTTGTTGGCATCAGTTTCACCTTCCTTGTTAAGAATGTATAGGCAAATGAAATTTATTTTCATTGCCTTAATAGGTAATAATCTTACCACTGTCCCTAAGTGCTTTTCAGTTTCAAAGCACTTTTCCTAACACAACTGTAGCTTCTAATTTAGGGATTATTCTGAGAGCTATAATTCTGTACTTGATGGTAGGGCTGGAGGGGGCCACTCCGGAATTGTCATGCCAACCCAGAGGTGGTTTTGCCTAACAGGACCTGATAGGAGAAACCCCTCATATTATTACAAGGTAGAACAATAGAGTTGACACTTGTCTTGGTGGTCTTCTGGTGTGGATAAGATACATAGTTGTACTTAGACAGTCCTGTTAAAGCTGGCCACTTTTTGGTGAAATGCTTCTGAAAGTAGCCAAGGATCAATAGTTTGAGAATAAGAAGATGATAAGCCATGCTTTTGAAGCAGGTCTCCTTATTTATAGAGAAGTCCTATATTTTTACATTCTGCGGGGGGGGGGGGGCAGATAACTGATGGCACAGGGATGTGGTAGCAGGGCAGGTACCTGACCATCCTGAATCCTGCTTGTCAGGCTGGGAGATTTTACTGTTGGCAGATACAGAGGTGCGGCGGTGTGGCGGGGCCTGAAGTATGTATGTGTGAGGTGGCTACTCTGTGCTGCTTATGTGCCAGTGATGAGCAGGATAGACAAGGCTATGCACCCTCACAGCTTCCACGTTGTGGGGTTGATCACTGTCACTCTTACATAAAGTTTAAGGAGGAAAAAGCCCTGTTTAGTGTAACTGCAAGCACATGAGCATGAGCTATGACAGGAAACAAGATAAGGTTGGGGCTTGTGCCAGGCTCCAGTCCCAGGCATTTTGGGGTGTGCCTGCTCTTGGGTCTCCCATTGCAGTGGAAGTGAATTGCAGATGCTTGCAATTGGTTCCTCTGCACATCTCACATACTCTCTCACCAGATGTGCAATCTCGTAGTGCTGGGGAAGTCCCGCCCTTCCAGCCTGGTCTCTGCCATTGACTGAGGATCTGCTGTGATCCTAAACCGTGATCCAGGTTATAACTCAGTCCCTGTTTAACTTAACAAGGAACCTGAAGCTCCAGGGGTTGGGTGACCAGTGTGAATGGCAGGCGTGGGATTCAGATCTGGGGCTACTTGATTACTGTGCAGGACTGTGAGAGGCAGGGCCCACAGTACAGGATCTTGTTCCATTCCCCTTGCTGCAGGTCCGTCCAGTAAGGGTCGGGGTGGAAACCTGAAGGATGGCACTGCAGGAGCACCTGTGTTGGAACCAGCTAAAGCAATGCCATTCCCAGACTTGGGCTTTTACAGGTTAATATTTCCATGTGAGGAGGTGGAGACTTGGCTACTCTGCTGCTTATGTACCATGGACTCAGAGATGAGCAAGACAGAGAAGCGTGTGTGCCCTCCCAGCTTCCATCGCTTGGGGTTGGTCATGTCACTGTGCTGGGTGCTTTGGCCCCCTGGATCATGTGCCAGCCATGAGCAGGATAGACAAGGCTATGCACCCTCACAGCTTCCACGAGCAGCCAGTGAGGAAGGCTCAGCCTTAGGTGGGAGGCAGCATAGTATAAGAAGTTATACTTGGAGTACCTCCTTATGAGGAAGATTAAATGAGATAGCATGTCAAGTGATTTGACTTTACCTAGTGCCCATAATTGTGTAGAGAGTAACTTATCATCATGGTGGCAGATAAGGTGCAAAGGAGTATGTGGTTAGTCCCCCTGTAGCTAATGGAGGAATTGGGTTTTTCAACTCTAGACCCTGGCCCCTTGCCTGCACTCCTTACTGCCAGCTGAAGGCTGCTTTGAAGTGTGCTTAACTTTGGGCTGGGCTGGGTTTTGAACAGAGATCTTCATTAATTGAGCTTAAGACTTTGCATCCACAAAAGATAGTATTCCTTGAGCCGAG